AAGTTTAAACATTATTGTAATTTTTAAGTTTAAACAATATTTCTTACGTTTATAAAATTCTTAGTTGTTAACTTTAATTTTTTGCTTTAGTTATGTAAGATTTTCGTTCATAAAAGACTTTGGTTTGTCATTAATCATGATATGTTTAGTGTTGATAGACGAGTTTCACAATATTATTTTGAATGACAATAATATAGTTTGAAGAAGTTAAATACAAAAAAAATATTAATATGATTGAAAATATATTGAGTTCAGTCGAGTATAAATTAGTATTTTTAGAACCAATAACCCAATTAGTATCTGAAACTGAAATTATTTCGGGTTCATTTGCATCTTAGACATGTTACTAAACCCGAACCGAACCCGAGATAACCCGAACCGAATCCGACCCGAATTTTTATAACATACAAATGGGGCTGAAATTTTTAAATCGGAAAACCTAAAACCCAATGAACTCGAACCGAAACCCGATTAGGATCCCGATTGCCCAGCCCAACTTGGTGATTAAAATTGCGCTTTTTAAAATAAAAGAAAATTCATGATTTTTTTGGTGTTTTTCCCCAACATCTTATAATGGAAAATATACCTATTTTGAAAACGTCAGGATGTTTGATTACAAAAAACGTCATGAAACTTTTCGGGCAGCAAGGAAACAGCAGGAAGTGTTTTCGGATGGCAATAGAAAACAGCACAAAGTTTTATGGTCCTGAGTTTCTTCCCAGAGTGAGCGAAAGAAAAGAGAATCTGTCTTACGATCTTTCAATCACATCGCGAGAATGGAGAAAGTGAGGCAAGCATCTCATGCAGGCTCTTGGTATACCGACAATCGTGAGTTCTGTCTTATCCTCTCAGTTAATCTTATTTTTAGGACAGAGAATTAGGTTATAGGTTTTTTGTTGATCACTGATCTTTAGTTTTATTATCTGAAAGCGAAGGTTTTGATTTTTTTTTTAATTGTTAATGATTATCAGGCAAACACTAATCTGATGGTTTTTAATTTTGGATTTTTTTTTCTGCTTGTTCCTGCGGCTCAGACTACTTCGGTTGGGGGTCTTAAGTTGTGTTCTGTTTCTTTTTAATCAGCTACAAAGTTGTCATCGGATCTTGAAGAATGGTTAAGAGCAGCTGGTTTGACCAAATCTCCGCATGTCCGAGGCGTCATTGCCCCGTAAGTTATTATTTATTATTCTATCTTGAACAATTGACTATAACTTGTCTTTTAACTTTTCAAGGGGATTCATTCAGACACGCAGGTTATTCCTACTCTGGTCGTGCAGCTGCTTACGCCTTTGGAAACATAGATCCCACAAACATGTAAAACAATTACTTTGTTTCATTACATCTTACTGGGAAATTGCTTTTGGAAGAGTGTTGATGGATTCATTATGTTCTTGTTTTCAGCTCTCGGATATTTCTACTTGGTCCATCTCACCATTATTATACTCCAAGATGTGCTCTTTCCTCTGCAACGGTTTATAAAACCCCTATAGGAGACCTACCCGTTGATGTTGAGAGTAAGTTGAGAGCAAAAGATGTTCTCTTTTATTTATTTTTTGGTTGTTTCCTTACATATTCTCTCACCACCAGTGATTAACGAGATCAGAGCTACGGGGAAATTTGAAATGATGGATCTCCGAGTAGATGAAGATGAGCATAGCATGGAAATGCACTTACCCTATTTGGCTAAAGTATTTCAAGGGTAAAATCACATCACTCTGATGATAGTAAAATCTTTAGATTCTGGTGAAACTTTTGAACAATGTGTACTTCCATTGGATCAGGCACGATGTGAAAGTTGTACCGATCTTGGTTGGATCAGTAAGTGCGGAAAGTGAAGCCATGTATGGTGAATTGCTGGCTAAATATGTGGATGATCCCAAGAACTTTTTCTCAGTGTCCTCTGACTTCTGCCACTGGGGCTCAAGGTTTAAATATGTGCATTATGACAAGAATTATGGTCCAATACACAAATCCATTGAGGCATTGGACAAGATGGGGATGGATATAATAGAGACAGGAGATCCAGATGCATTCAAGAAATATATTTTGGAGTTTGAAAACACCATTTGTGGGCGCCACCCGATTAGTATTTTTCTCCATGTAAGCATTTTCTTTTCATCCAGTTTTCAAACTTATTGTTTATGTTTAATGTTTGTGATTTACGTTCAGATGCTAAAACATTGCTCAAGCAAGATCAAGATCAATTTCCTGCGGTACGAACAGTCAAGCCAGTGCCAGACAATGCGAGACAGCAGTGTCAGCTATGCATCTGCTGCAGCTAAGTTGAAATGTTGAACTGAAGAAAATCGAAAACTTGGTGTTGCAAAAATTACCATTCAGTTTTAAGGTCTTTTGGTTTCAATGGAAAGAAGGTGTTTACAAATATCTGTAATAAAGAAAAACACAAGAACCTCTTTCATTGACTGATATCTAATCTTTTCCATTGGTTTCACAAGTTACATTCATACATGGAAACAATAAAATTTTAATGAAGAGTCATGAGACGTACGCAAGATGAATGAATGTACCAGTCACCAAAATCCATGCGAGAATCACAAGGATGCACAAGAGGAAGAGAATCAATTTTAGTTTTAACTCATGAATGTCGTACGAGACACATTTCAGGCTTTTTACTGACGTGTAAACGATGATTCGCATCGTGAGGATTGAAGAAACTTCAAGAGAAGATAATCAGACAATATAGATCATTAGAGTTAATACATTAGTTGATAGTTGATAAACTTGTACTGAAAGAAAAATTTGAACTACCGAGGCCAAGAAATGCCAAAAAAAATAAGCATAGAAACTACTATAAGCGGCCACCATCCTGCAATAACAACGATGATCACTACATATTCTTTTCAATGAATAAAAACTACATTTTTTAAATGTTAGGAGTTATTTTTTACACAGAACTGAGAAAGTTGCTTATATCATTGGCTATTAGTGTTTTTCTCAGTGACAGGTAGCTATAAAAGAAAACTCAGTTTCACTCATATCTGATCAATTTCAGTTTGGACACCTGAAGAACTCCAAATCTGGTTGGCTGAAGAAAGATAATCTGACCTGATCCGACTAAAGCAGAACACATCCAATTCTGTGACTGTAATAAGAACAAATCAAAATGTTAAAGACCACCCCCATTGGTGCTTATGTTAAGGGGTTCTATCTATAAAATCTATATAATAATGGGACAGTATAGTCTCTCCTAAAACTGTCCACCTCAACACTTGTGAATCTCACTAGAAAAACATTTGCGTTTCTTGATCAAAAAAAAAAAAAAAAACATTTGCGTTTTAGATTTTCGGTTTTGTGAATTTTGAAATGGGCTTATAGACTAACTCTTGAGTTCATTTTAGAAAACCTGTGGCAAAACTTGTGGCATTGCCAGCTAACAGTTCCGAGAGATTTAATAAGAAAGCATAGGACGTATGAGACCATCGAGAAAAAGTCATAGATCTCAGAGGAAGCTTAAAGAGTTCAGCATTTGTCAGGAAATTGTGGGAGATGAGAAGATTCACAATTGATCATGAAGAGGATGAAGAACAAGATCACGAAGAGGAGGAGGAGAAAGAAATGGGAAAGTTAATTTCTTGGTTAATTTCTTTATGTTCTTTTTTTTTATAATCATTTTCTTATACCTCTCTAAGAACTTGGATGAATGAAAGAGTATGCGTGTTATTTGCACACTAAAACGCTTAATTGTCTAACTTGGTTTCTCTCTTTTACTAAATCACACAGCTCCAGTTTAAATAGTCTCAAATCACACTAATACACATTATTTATCTACAGTTTGTACGCTCCAAAAAAGTTTCTGAAGAGGCGAACGTCAAAAGTTTGGGAACTAATTTTGTTATATTATTTGAGTCAAAGATCATTTGGTGTTTTTCTTCTTGTGCTTTCTGTGTGAGAGCTTCTTCTTTCATATGAAACATAAGTAACTCTTCGTGCTCTTGGGACATCACTCTCTTTCTCTTACATAATTACTGGCTTTGGACTTAAACACACGGAGATTGATCTCGAAACTCTACTTGGTCTCTGGTTTCTAGAATGCAAAGACTAGCTCAGAAGCAGAACAAGGAGATTGAGAAAGTTAATCGTGAAAGGAAGTACCATCAGGTGATAATATTTTTTTAAGTATTTTTAAATATCTCTTCTTTGCAGTCTTTTCTTTAGTTTACGGCTTAATCTGAAACTTTTTTTTGTGTGGACATATCAAAATTATGGCTTTAGTATAAAAATAAACAAACAATTAATCATTTAATAATCACTAAGTTTCAATGTGAAGTAAGCTTTAATATCAGTAGGCACAATCTAGAAATGGAAACATAAAATAAATTGAGACAAATGAGAAAAAGTTCAAGGAAAATGATACGGTCAAATGAGTAGCAATGTAAATTGGATTGAAGTAAAAAGAAAATATTATACAAATTCGAATAAGGTTGCACTGCAAATAAGTAATGATAGGAAGAGGAACAAGAATTTGTAGAAGATATGAACATACAAAAATCAAAACACCTAACTTAAAGACACAAAGAAAAATACAAGAAATTCAGATGGAAGATTAAATCATTAATAAAACAGAAAATTCAAGAATGGTAGAAAATATCTAAAAGCCTTAAAACAACACAAATGAACGACCTGCACGCAACGGTCTAAGTGCTTGGCAACATTTTACAAATTCAGTACTAATTAAACATCGAAAACTGTTCCCTCAACGATGCATTTTCTACGTATGAAGATTTTTCGATCATTTTCTATTTTATTCATGCGTTGTAAGATTGAGAAGAAAAGGAAAATAATATAACAATTGGTATTAGTTTGAGGGTTGAATTGGTGGAGCAAAGCAAATGGAACAACCCACAAATCCACAATGGGATAGATGAACATGATATTCACTGGTCTTTTTGTTTTTTTTTAGTTTTAAGAAGAAGCAGATAATGGCTTGTTTGATGCAGCTAGAGAATAGAAGATATTGATTAAGGAGCATGAACAAATAATCTTGCTTTACAACAGGTAACTTCATTAATTTCGATACTCTGATAATTCTTATTACGGTTACAACTTATGCATTTCATTTTATAGCCACCCTAAAAACTCGGAACAAGGAAACATGCACATATAACTGATTCATCAATGGTACAAGAAAGATGATTTCAAAGTTGTAGGTGCAAAACAAATTTCACAACGCAGTGAATGTAGATCACTTAATAAACTACAAAACAAAAACAAATAAATACCCCCATTTTTATTCATTATTTGAATTATATATGAGAAGATTCAGGAAATTGCATATCGCTTCTTAGTAATAATCGTCATCCGCTTTGAAGGGATTGAACTCTTGTACTACACATCTGATTTCATTTCTGAATATGGACGCTCTTCCAGCAGGACAGATTCCCTCTGCAGTGGTGGATACAAATGCTTATATACGATTACAAGATTGTTATCCTAGCTATAAAAACATTACTCTTCCCTCTGCGCAATGGTGCATACAATACAAGTGCTTTTATATATAAACGTTTTTCTTTTTTGCTTATACCATAATTGAACCTTTTAAAAACAAACAAAATCTTTTAATAAAATGGATGCGTTTAAATATCTAATAGCTAGAGTCGTTGTTCCTTTTTTGGTGGAAGATACCTCCAAGTGTTACAGTTCAAAAAAGAAAAGATACCTCCAAGTGTTTGTGGTAGGAACAAAAGTAGGATAATACACGCTGCGATGATGATACTTCCACCTGATACCACCAAAGCAGTCATATTGTAAGAGCTCTTTTTACAAATTAGTGAAGAATCCATCTCGATCAATCATGTTTAAAGTTAGATCTTCATAGATTAAGGTATATTTTTTACATATGAATCGACACTTCATACCCCAATCGTATATGTATGTTTTCTTTTTGTAAAGATTGTTGCGTTAGATCTCCTATCGGACTGTAAAACATACGAGGTACTAACCTTGTTTATGTTTTCGCATGCGCTCTTGGCCGTTTGCACGTGGTCTGTCAATGAACATGTGAATTGATCCGAGAATCATGGTTCCTAACACCAAACCCAGCATCTTGTTTCACTTTGTTGTTAATTTTGTTTCTATTGATCAGCCATTGTCTCATGAATTGCATTTTATATAGAATTGTTTTTTTGTCCAATTTAATAAGCTTGCATTACCTGGACGTGTTATTTGTGTTCCAAATTAAAAAAAAATCAGCCGTCTTATTTAAATCATAAATCCTGACGTGGAAAAGACTGGAAAATATCGAATAAACCCCTTCATTTATGCCAATTGCCTGTTTAATCAAATTTTATACTAATACTAGATTTTTTATCCGCGCTACGCGCGGATTGTTTGGTATAGTTAAACTTTTATTCAATGAATTTATTTATGTTTATTTTATAATCTATATTAATATTTGTAAAGTGATTTTTATTCAATCAATTTATTTATGTTTATTTTAATAATCTATATTAATATTTGTAAAGTGATTTTTCGTCTTTGAATTCTCATATTTAAAGTTAAAGCGACTAAAGGATTCATTATCCTTAATAAATAAATAGATTTGTTAATATATAATTAACAATTAATTAAAAAGAAAATTTATTGATTTGATAGTTATCATTGTCTAAAATTAATTCTTACTGTGTTATAAAGTTTTCATTATCTTTAATAAATAATTAGATTTGTTAATATATATATATATATAATCATAAATTAAAATGATTTTTTATTTGATAATTATCATTATATAAAAATAGTTTATATTGTTGTATCCAAAAATAAATATTTTACATATTAAAAAAATATATAAATAAAAGAGATACATCTCTCCATATATATTGTATACAATTCTATACATAGGTGTGTTTAATATTTTTACACGATAATGAATATTTTTATTATAATAAAAAAACTTTTTGATATGTAAAAAAAAACTGATATCTAATTTCTTACTAAAAATTGGTCTCCTTATTTAGGTCCTTGTCGCGCGATAGTATTGTATATAATTTTTTCTCTAAATTTAGTATAAATATATGATATCATTTGATAATTTTATCCTAAGGAAAAAACAAAATTTGAGCTTGTAAAGTAGGTAGATATATAGAGACTTATGAGGATATATTCATCAACACATCTTTTAAATAAGTTCAATATTTGCACAAATATTCGGAAGCAAATTAGAGTTGAGAATTTTTTAATATATCAAGAGAAAGTGAGAAATAAATCATATATTGATCCAAGAGGTTTGTGATTTTGTTTGTAGAAGCATAAAAATAAAATAAAATCATATGTAAGAATGCCAGCGGTGTGTAACTTTAAAAATAACATCTAATATGAGAAATCTATAATGATTTAGATCTTCATTGGCAAAACATTGGCATAATGCTATTTATTATTCAATCAATAATAATTAGGAAAACATTTAAAATAGAATTTAGAACCTGAAAAATAATTTTCAAATTCTCTTTGATCAATGCTTTCATATAAAGGTTTTGCTGCCATGATACCAATGATGGAACCAGAAACTTTTTGTACTGGGGTCGGAAAAAAAAATCAAAACATAATTTATAAACCACAAAAAAATTCAAATGTACTCTAAGTTCATTCATAGTTTTTGAAACTTTTTATAGCAGTTTCATTGGGCTACATCTTCAAATATTTTTTTAGAAACTTTTTTTATCTATTAAATAAAAAAATAGTCTCTTTCGAAATATATAACTAATTGTTAAATCCTTTTCAAATCATGAACATAAAATAATAATATAACAAAAAAAATATAGAAAATACAACCTGAACTGTAACAGAAACATAATTGTGAAAAGTTCGCTGTCGTCTTGAGTTTGTGAGGAAAAGGAATAAGATTTGTTTTTCCTTTTTTAAGTTTACGTATTTTTTTAATATTTCTATATTATAAATTCTTTGGATCTACTATAATTTGGGCTTAAACAGATTTACTATTAAAAATAACATAACGTGTTTAGTGACTATATTTTTTTTGTAATTATAAAAAAATCAGGTTATATCTAAAGTTTTACAGAAAAGTATAAATATTATAGTTTTATAACTAAATTTTATTGACAAATTTTACGTATAACAAAACAATATTTTTTTTTAAAATAATGGGGTCAGCGATCCCTTCCTCTTATACTGTCTCTTCCCCTGCATGATACTACGCTATCCATATGATGATGAGTATGTTGTCGATCTTTCAAGGGAGAGATGTGGTTGTAGTACTTTCCTTTCAAAACATGTGCTAGTAAGAAATTTGGGTATTGAATTAATCTCCATAATTATTTTGCAAGATTTTCTAAATAACTTGACTCTTTTTATGATGATTAGCTGCATAGCCTCCACTTGAGAGCATATTTTGATTTTGCCAAAAAGAAACCGTCGAAGAATGTGCCATAGATTTTTCTTGGAAAGTTCTCTTGATCTTCAGCAATATTCACAATCCTAAACTTTTCCTGCTTTGTAGAGAGTAAAATTTACATTGCTAATATCAAAACTTGACTCATATATATCAAAACTACTTAACTTTACAAAATCTCCACACAAAGTTTATTTTGAATAGCCCCCCTTAGAAAATCTCCCAAACCTTCTTTGCTTCAGCTGGAAATTTTGGTGAATCATTTGTATTTAGAATATATCAAATGTTTAAAACAATTTTTAATAATTAATTAAAAATTAGCTTAACAACTTTATTATACTCTTTCACATGGTTAGAGCACTTGCATTTAAAAGAATTCCACGTGATTTTGGAATGGATTTTGATATAGATAGATTAGTGTGGTCGAAGGGGACATATTGTTTGTTCCAAACCAATATCTGAAGGAGGTAAACAAACACTGGAGATATATCACTGAACACAATACGCATCATTGGTTTTCCCAGGAACACGTCCAAACCCCACGAAATTGTAGCTTCAAGTTTTACAAATAGATCTACGACTTTACAGTTTCCATGTATGGCTATATTATGTTCCCTGAGGATATGAGAGAAATAAAAAAAAAAGCAGGCTTGTTCTTCTTTGGCATCAACTTGAGCATCAATTCTCAACGCGCTAACACCAGGAACATTAGGTGAGCTCCATGTTCTTCTTGTACCGTTTTTATTACCAGCACTTTCAGGGCTACCTCTCTCGTCAATGTCTATCACATAGTCAGGACTCTCACCGTGACATCTACTCAAGTTGATGCTTTCACTGCTGAAACTCTCAAAAGTCTGAGAGGATCCAGACAGAAACATGGCAAGATCATCACGCTCTTCTTTGTTAAGATCCACCCAACACAGAGGTTGCTCCCCGTTTTCACATAATGCAGATTGTACTCGATGAACCTGGTTTTCTATAGCGGAGACAAACTGNGACTCTCACCGTGACATCTACTCAAGTTGATGCTTTCACTGCTGAAACTCTCAAAAGTCTGAGAGGATCCAGACAGAAACATGGCAAGATCATCACGCTCTTCTTTGTTAAGATCCACCCAACACAGAGGTTGCTCCCCGTTTTCACATAATGCAGATTGTACTCGATGAACCTGGTTTTCTATAGCGGAGACAAACTGTTTATGCCTTGTCAACGTAGTAGTGTCGTCTCTACAATGTCCGTGACTCAACCTTATTGCACTCTCAAACTCTTCCAACTGATTTCAAAATTACAACACCACTCATGAGAATGATTCAAAAGATGTGTGTGAAGCTGTATTATTAAACCTGCCATTTAGCTGTGCCACCACATGCTGCATCCAAGCTCAAATTTGTTTGTGTCTCTCTCTATGATCACACCCGTCATTAATATAGCAGGTTCTTTCCTGCTGAAAGTCAACAAATCAAAAAGGTTTTAGAGAATGCGCTTAAAGAGAGACTAAAACCTGAAGTTTTTCTTTTTTTTTAAAGAGTAAAATAACCCAACACTTCCCCAATACTAAAGCTTGGATCTGCTGTTTGAACAGATATGTGACTTTTTAAAGCAAAACACAGTGTACCACCTTTCCATCAATGATTATGGTTTCTTTAAAGCAATTTAAAGGGATGTTTTCAGTAACCCTTACTTAAAAACACACACACTTTTCTCTTGATCAATCGAGCCATTGCTCAGAAGGATATTCTCTCTTCCTCTCTTCATGCAATAGAAGTACCATCTTGGTGTTAACACACCTTGATCAATGCTGGTTCCGGCTCATCTAGTTTCTGCTCTTGGCTTTTTAGCTTCATTTGTTTCCTTAAAGAAAACCTACATGGAGTTTGATATTACTATGCATGGTATCACCATCTGTTAACAATAAGAGAAGAATATTTAGAGGAAATTAGCAACCTTACACAAAGGCAAATATGCGTAACCAACTCAAAAGTTGAAACAAACCTCTGCGTAAGAGTAATCGTCACCTTATGGGTCAAGATTCCAATAACACCCATATGCTCCTGTAATACTAAAACATTCCCTCAAATTTCAAGCTACTTATCATACTTTTATGCAGCATGGCACACAGTCAATTTAGAAGATTTAGATCATTGAGCTCTTCGAGAACAAAATTAAGATAAAAAATAATATGCTTGACGATACAATACCTNAGAGTAATCGTCACCTTATGGGTCAAGATTCCAATAACACCCATATGCTCCTGTAATACTAAAACATTCCCTCAAATTTCAAGCTACTTATCATACTTTTATGCAGCATGGCACACAGTCAATTTAGAAGATTTAGATCATTGAGCTCTTCGAGAACAAAATTAAGATAAAAAATAATATGCTTGACGATACAATACCTCCTCATCACGGAGAGGTTGAGTAATAACGAACTGCGAAAATCGACCGAGGCAAAGAGCGTCAAAGGCTGATTGCACAACAACAACATCGATAGAATCTATGCCGGAAGAGGAAGCCGAGCGTGTACAGTCTCCAACGATTGGGCGGAAGAAGAGTTCCCGATTAGCCGGAGAGGGAGTTTTCGTGACAACGTTAGGGTTGTTCGCGGAGGTCGAAGAGTAAAACGTCGGTGGATCGCCTGCTTGGTGTACGCTTCTCAGCCACGCTTTTAGGTTAGATGACAATAATATTTATTGGCAAGATTAAGACAAATACTTTGAATGATAAGGGAGTCTAAGAGTTGAGAGAAGAATTCATTGTTTTTGGAGTGAAGGATCAGCGGAGACGGAAAGTGGAAGAGCCAAAGAATGATAACTATTAATCCCCAGTTTCAATCACAAAACGCAGAGTTTAGTTAAAAAACCAAACTACCTTTCTAACCGAACACAATAAAACCTTAATCAACCGTGAGATTAATAAGCAAAGCCAAACCGAATGTGAGCTTCATATGGACCATTGATGATGACATGGCAGTAGTTTACTCTGCTATTGGCTGATTATATTAATCCTACGTGGATACCCTAAGCTTTGAGCTTATTCCCCTTTTAATATAGTATAGATGATACAGTTTTTCATGATCAAGTTGGTATTGGTCTTAGTCACTTGACGTAGAGTGATTAAAATATTCGATTACTTTTATTTTTGTCAACAAAATATATTTAATTGTTTAAACTTTTAAGCGCTAATTTCGGACGCTTATGTTTACATGTACTTTTTATAATCAACTTTCTCAAAATAATATGACACGTTATTCATGTTCTCATAAAATATTTCCGCAAATTAAAATGTCAAACAAAAATCATATTTTTTCGTTTATGCTTAACGTATACATTTGTAGTTTTTTCTACTGTTTCTTTATTTAAATGTTAAGGATCGATGTCTTTTTTTAGGGCATCTCCAACCCAATTCTATTTTTTACTCTAAAATAAAGTAAAAGGGAATATGAAGTAGAAAACACTCCAACCATACTCCATTTATCACTCTATAATAGAGTTTACTCCATAAATGAAGTAATCTATTTTTTGTTCGTTCATCACTCTATTATGGAGTGGAAAATGAAGTAGGGTTGGAGCATTTTTACTCTATATTCTCTTTTACTCCATTTTAGAGGAAAAAATGAAATTTTACATTGGAGATGCTCTTAGTAGACACTAGACAGACATTAAATACAAACGGACACGGAAACACCAATCAGTGGCTACTAGTTTGTACACAGAGATGTAGTATAAAGGTTGAGCTAAGTAATGAAGAATTCACTATATTGTTTAGCAGTAATCGGTGAGGCTTCCGCCCATTTGAAAGAAGATTTAAGTGTTTATAAGAAGATCCATGATGCATCGACGAAACTTATGTGACTACTCATTGATTCCCTTGTAAGTTCAAATCAAGAAAACATAATAGGAAAGGCATATATGTTGAATAATTCAAGCTAACGTTGATTGGTCGCTCTAGGAGTCATAGATCAACCGATCTCTGGTAGGGATCTGTCGATCCATGCAGTGTGGATCTACTAATCCCTCTAAATTCGAAAAATATGAAAAAAATCATTAAATATTTTTTATATATATATTTTAAAGATTTTACTATATTTTGTAATATGTATTGTACGTCTCTATCAATAAAGTATTTTTTTTTTCATGACGTAGCCATAAAAGTAAACTACAATAAATTTATGTGTTTTCCTTTATTGTTTTATGTCATTTGTTAATTTGTTTTATCCACGACAATATAAATAACGGAAGCTTGCGTAATATAATTGATCTACAAGTCTTATATATATACAAGAAGTCTTATATTATATATTTGGTACGATGTAGTTCATAAGTGTTTTTTGTCATGGTCAAGTTTTTTATCGATAAATCTTGTCTTTCTTTCTTTTTTTGTAACATGATAAATCTTGTCTAGTTGGTGTAAGTCGCATAAAGAATCTTGACTCAGTGTTTCACCTAACCAACCACTAAGCTAAGTTATAATTAATTAGGTGCATATCTGGTTTTGATCATAATGTTAACTTTTGTATTAGACTTTGTTGAACCGATTGATTGACGTGTTTTACTAGTGCCTTAGTTCATAATCTTACAAATTTACAATAATATTTTTTTTTTGGGGGGGGGGGGGGCTATAAGCAATGATAATTTTATTGTCATTTTAATGTTCAGCTAATTAAGCAGTATAACACTTTCTTGTCAAGAAAAGAAAAGAAAAACTCAAGAACTAGATAGCCATGAATTCTTCTAACCAAGCCACAAATAAGACAAAATCAGGAGAAGTAGATTCCTCCAGTTGCATCATACAGATTGATCCCCCAAAGTCCCCAAAAATTCTGAGGAAATCAGCAGGTGGTCAATCTTGTTGCATCTTCAGAATCCCTCACACACTCGTCCAAGCCAATGAAGCAGCTTACAAACCAAAGATTGTATCCATCGGTCCTTACCACCAGTGGGATGGTAAAGACGATAGACATCAGGTTCAGATGATCCAGGAGCACAAACAAATATATCTTGACCTCTTCTTGTCCAAGACAAAGATAAACGGAGTGTCTTTGACCCACTTGAGAGAAGTGGTCTCCGGTCTAGAACAGAAGATCAGAGATTCTTACTCTGAGGATCTAAATATCAATAAGGAAAAGCTGATAGATATGATGATTCTTGACGGTTGTTTCATCCTCACGTTGTTCTTCGTGGTCGCAAAGAAGGAATGGCGTCAAAATTATGACGACCCTATTCTGATGTTACGGTGGATTCTACCAACTCTTCAAAGTGATCTTCTCCTCCTAGAAAACCAGGTTCCACTTTTCCTTCTTCAAGAACTCCTCACTGCTTCCAAATTATTTCCTTCCGCTAGCCTAAACATGATCATCTTTCAATTCTTTCGCTACTCTATAGAAAGACCAAATGAATTTTGGGGCAAAAACAAAAATATCAAAGCAAACCATATTCTTGATCTTATCCGTCAAACTTTTATACCCTCTAAATCTCCAACACCAACACCAATACCAACATCAACACCGCCTCCTCGCCCTTTTCTCAGTCTGATTGTTTCAGCCAAGAAACTTCAACTACGAGGAATAAAATTCATGCCAAAGGAGAAATATGATACACCCTTGGATATAACACTCAACGGCAACTTTCTTGAAATACCTAAACTAACGTTTGATGACTTTTTCAGTTCGCTTTTGATCAACTGCGTTGCCTTTGAGCAGTTTAATGTGAACTGTTCAACGGAGATGACAAGCTATGTTACTTTCATGGGCTGCCTCATCAACACTGAAGCGGACGCAACCTACTTAAGCGAGAAAGGGATCATAGAGAACTATTTCGGGACAGGAGAAGAAGTATCTCTCTTCTTCAAGAACACTGGTAAAGACATTGTCTTTAGCATATCAAATAGTTACTTGGCAGATGTGTTCGAGGGGGTGAATGAGTATACCTCACAAGGATATCACGTACAATGGGCAAAATTCAAGTATACATATTTCAAGAGTCCGTGGACTTTTCTATCATCTTTTGCTGCTTTGATACTTCTCATTGTTACCGTTTTCCAAGCTTTCTTCGCAGCCTATCCTTATTTTTATCCTCCCAAGTAAAAGATTGAGTGAAGCATACTATTGACTTGGCGCTCACCAGTGTCGCCCCTTTTGGCTTCGTCTCCAAGTGCTTGAAGCTTTCATCGTTTGTTTACATTATTCTCGTCGCTGTTTTGTGTTATACCCACTACGAGCATTTGTATTTTGACTTCAGGGTTTGCAAATTGCCATTCATTTTTAATGTAAAAGTTATTTTGCATTGTCTTGAAGACTTGAACAAATAAAAGTTCATAACACGTTTGCGATAATCCTCTAACGTAAGAATTATATATGTTATATTATGTTTACTGATAGCTCGAGTTATAGAATCTAAGACCACCTCCATTGGTTAAAACCCTTAATAGGTTTTTACATTTAATTTAATTGTTAATTGTGTATATTATGAAGTTTAGAATCCTTATTAATGTAACTATTTGAGGATGGAGTCAATGTGCTGAGTTAGCTTGGAAGCTAACCTAGCTGAGTGTTTTAAGTCGTTGGGTAATAGACGATTTAATGGAGTGGAGTTGAGTTGAAGAAACTGAACGTTCAATCTTCTACTGACTCTACATCTTTCCATCTTAACTCTATTGACCATTAAAGCATCAGAATCGTAACACTTCAGTTCTTCCTTACTATAGATACCATCATGGTTAACACGGAATCCTTTCATCTCAAATATAATCTTCACCGTCATAGATTATACTAACTCCTTCAAAGTGTATGTATTTGGTGCTCCAAAGTGACCACCTTCATACTCTTGCCAGCACTAACTTAGAGCTCCTCCCATGTATGCTTTTTATATTGCAACTTTGTTTACTTTATGTTCTCGATTTTTTAGCAATTCAAAGTGGAATCTGATGAAAACAAGTCGAACCTAATAATAATAAGAGCATTGTAGAAGTTAAAGCAATCGGTCATCAGTACCTATCTACTTGAGTCATTAGGGTGGCCTTATTGGAAAGATTTTGGGGATTTTGGATTTGATAAAATTATATGGATTTTGAAGATTTGGTGGGGATTTTAAGATTTTGATGAGAATTTATGTGGGGTTTATTTTTAGTTTTTTTTCTTTAAAAAAAAAAAATCATTCCAAGAGGAGGACGTGTGTTCTATCTCAGTTTCATCCGAGGAAGATCTTATTTTTGAGAAGGAAATGTCAGTGTTCTCTGTTGAGATTGGACATGGGAGGAGTGTATCCACATTTAGTTGAGAACAAGTCATTCATCAATGAATCAGTGATGCATACTCACATTCCTTGAAGCGTGCTGATTTTAGAACAATAAGAGAAATTCAGAGTATGTTGGAAAAGCAAGAGCAACTCAAGAGGTAAAATACTCTTAATATAATCTTCAAGATATTCTGTACATAAGCTCACAACTCAAAAATTTCTTTTATTTTTATTGTTGACAGAAACAATACTCAAACTGGAAGAGTGCTTGTCCTTGGAAGCCACAATTCACCACTTTGTAGTATAGATTTCAAGGTGAGTTTCAAGCGACTCTGTTAATGTGTTGATTATCTGCATTTGCAAGTTTCTTATTAAAGAATTTGTGACAATGGCCGTGAAAAATAATACTTCATTGTAGGATGTTAACAGCTTCAACGAGTTCATAGAACAATTCACAGAAGAAATTAATAAAATTACTTCTTCATATCGACTCTGTTAGCCTCCCTGATAGCTAGTACACCGATCATTGAGCATGTCAAGGATATTATAATCCAGTTACAATTCCATAAATAATTTAAAAACTCTTACACCGAAATCAGAGCATGCAATCATGTATACCCAAAAAGTGCGTATTTGTGGCAAACAAAGTTAGTTCTATTAAAGTCCATTAAAGACCTAAATTTTATACTCCGGTATGTAATTCTTAAACAAGTTTTTGTTTATCTTAATTTTTTTTTTTAAACACAAGAAACAGCAAATATCAAATTAACATTTTAAAAAATTAAAAATATTAATAACAAAGAACTTTCCTAAATAAAAATAAATGATGGAGTTTGTGGAAGAGAGACAACAAAATTAGTAAGAGAAGCTCGTTCTTACGTTTTGTTTTTTTTCATATGGAATATTTTTTTTGCTTAAAGCAATAGCATTTTCGTATTTTTGTTACATATGTTGATTTATTCCATACAATATTTTTTGGAAATTATGTCATCTATTTCTGACAAATCAAAAGCTTCTCTATTACTTATCATCCAAAGATCAATGACAATGCAAAAAACAGACAAACTTGTGGTAAACTAATCTCTCATCATTCACACTTTAGAACAATTACCGTCTCTCAATCTCACAAACAAAAACACTAAATATCAACAGGAATCAAATGACGTCGTTACAAGAATCTTGTCGAAAAATGAAATAAAAAATCAGTTTTCTCATATTTAGAGGAAAAGGCAAACTGGAACTTGTTAAATTTAAAACACAAACCTTTTAAACCCATTTTTATTTTTATAATGGATCAAAAATAAATAACAGTTTCTATTTTTGGTCTTTTAAATTTTTTCCAACTATTTTAGTCGACCATTACAAACTTTGTTTTTCCCACGTTCAAACAATTTAAACAAAATTCAGTAACAAACATAAATATATATATATATATAATATTATAAATTTCTAGACTTACTACTTTATAAAATACAGTTTAAAACAATTATTTATTTTTAAAATAAAATTTAGGTTAGATCAAGAAAGGAACTTTATTTACTGTTTATATAAATTGTTAAATGTATAAATTTTTTCGTACACTATAGATTTGTTTACTAACAAATATTCTAAGTTGGGTGATTTTTGAACAATGAAACTACTAATAATGTTAATTTTCAATTAAATCATTACACATATTAAATACTACAGTATAACTTCTTTAAATTAATACTTTATAAATTAATATACACTAAAATCTCTATAAAATAATATAATTTTATAGTCTCAACTTAAGTTTTTGGTTCAAATAGTATATCTATAAATTAATAATCTCTATAAATTAATAAAATTATAACTTTAGTGTAGTCCCAACATTATTAATTTATAGAGGTTTCACTGTAGGTGTCTGCACCATGTGCAGTGATAAACTTTATAAAAGTTAAATTATATTTAAAATGAAATTTATTAATATTATATATTTTATTATTTTGACTAATATTTATTATAAATTTGATTTAGTTAAGCACAAAATTAAGAAAAAATAAATTTGTTTATTTTAAATTATATTTAATAATATATACGTACTATATTTAAATTTGCAATCTTAGAATTTTTTTATCTAATTATTTTGGTTAAATGTATTAATCAACTTGTATAAAATTACTAGGAAAATTCATATAAAAATTCTATAGTTATTAAAGATTATAACTAAACAATATTTATAAAAAAATTGATATCTAAAAGAAACTAATGATATTATGATTAAAATTTATTAATTTTTTAAAAAGATGTAGAAAATTTTGAAAATATTACTAATAGAAATTGTATAATTATAAAAGTAAAATTAAATAACATTTATAAATTTATAATGCATATTTCAATATATTTATTTTTAGTGATGATTTGATTTATGAGTTATTACCATATTTTAAGAAGTTTACCAAAAATATAAATCAAATTAAATGTAATGTATCAGTCATTGTCATATTCTATAATGGTTGCCAAAAATATATATCAGCAATAAATATAATTATTCATGTCATATTTAACTATAAACCATGTCATCAATCTTAGTAGCTATGTCATTATTTTTTTGTAAAAATGATTGTAGAGAATACATATGGCAAATCGTTACGCAAATAATATATCACTAGGTGATTTTCCCGTGCTCATGCACGGGTATCAATTTTCATGAATATTCATGAAAGTAAAATTCTATAATAATTGATTGATATTTAGTTTGAGTTTTGAATCAATTTATATGTATAATTTATATTAATAAATAATATATTATTCTAATTATACATATGACTTTGAATATATTATTGTCGGTTTAATTATTTTTCGGATCGATAGTCGGTTTGGTTATCAATTCGGTATATTCGATAATATCTATTTTTCGAATTCAGCTATAATTTTTTTTATTCTAAATATAATAAAACTTTGATTAATTTTTTATTTTCGTTTTGGTTGGTTATTTTCTTTAGATATGTAAATATATTCTTAGATATGTAAATATATTTAGTTAAATTATGTATAACTTAATATATGTTGTGCTTAAAATGAAATACATAATAAGCTGAAGTGTTTGATTCAAAATTACATATGAATATAATGATAATATTTTGAAGTCTCATGCATATATATAAATTCTAAAACAATTAATTTGTAATTAATTAATATTTTATTTTTCTTTTTAATATGCTTTGAGTCAGTCTCTAATTTATATGTATAGAATTAAATATATTATATTTTTATTATTATTATTATTATTATTATTACAAAATTATATTTTCTTATTGTAGTTAGATGTTTAATTTTGGATATAAATTATATTAGTCGAGTCATTCATTTTGTGAGTATATAGAGTTAATATATTTTTAAATTAAAATTGAAGTATAATTACTTTTTATTTTAGTTAAGTCAAATCAAATTAGTTTATTTATCGCTTAAATATACATGTATTTTCATAATATTTATTTACTCTTTGTTTTAGTTAAGTCAAATCAAATTATTTTTATTTATCGCTTATATATGTAATTACATAATATTTATCAAATTATATGTTTATTTCTAAAAAAATATTAGAAAATAATGTGTAACTGATAAATTTTTTGATGTTCATGAACATATATATTTTTATTATTTTGAAAATATATTTTCTGTTATTTAAAAATATATATTAATGGAGATATTACTATTTTGTGAACTTTCCTTTTTAATAAATTCATATTATATACATATATTTTCGTTTTTAAATTTGTCTTAAAATTTTNGAGATATTACTATTTTGTGAACTTTCCTTTTTAATAAATTCATATTATATACATATATTTTCGTTTTTAAATTTGTCTTAAAATTTTAGAAATGTTTCTTAAAACTGAAGTATAATTACTTTTTATTTTAGTTAAGTCAAATCAAATTATTTTTATTTATCGCTTAAATATACATGTAGTTTCATAATATTTATCAAATTATATGTTGATTTCTAAGAAATATTAGAAAATAAAGTGTAACTGATAAATTTTTTGATGTTCATGAACATATATATTTTTATTATTTTGAAAATATATTTTATGTTATTTAAAAATATATATTAATGGAGATATTACTATT